AAACAAACAAACAAACAAACAAACAAACAAACAGAAAAAGAAGAGAAAAGGAAGACGAAGGAGGACTCAGAAGCATGCAGCATTGCAGGAACAACCGTAGATTGCAGAGATGGTGGGTGAAAGATGTTTGACGGTGAAGGAAGAGGGAAGAGGGAAGCGGGGGACGCACAACGAAGGCAGCAAGTTGGAGGTGCAATACTCACATGTGAGTCGCTGGTGTAGCTACGGGCGAGCGACATGCTGAGTTGAGACAAGATCGGCTTTTGCTTCGTCTCAGCAAAATAAGCATTCCTGGCCCAGCAAGAGCTGGAGGCTTGCGTCGCATTTTCTGCCAGCGATGAAGTTGGGTTATCCAGAGGAGCGACATGGCGAGCAATGACCGCTACGCGGCCTGCAATTCTGTCCACGTGGCACACACCCCCGTCATTCCCCGCACCATAGACGTCCATCTCTTCCGCACACGGCTGCTGCGCCCGCCGATTTCCGCCGACTTACTTGTGCGCTTACGGTCGTGTATGTATGTATATATGGCCGTACGTATGTGTATGTATGTACATATATAGATATATATTATATATATCGTCACAAACAGAACTGCCCGGTAAACCGTAGGCAGAGAGAGAGAAGAGGACAACAAACGAGGGGCTGTGACAAACTGTTTCGTCGGAGTTTTATATATATACATATGCCCATACGCATATAGTTATGCAACTATGTTTACGCGTAGGCAGGTACGTAGGTATTTTCCTCCCCTCCCTGAGTGTAAGCGAGCGACGATAATCCGCCGGCCGATCGCGAGGTTGCCTTGCCGAACCTTGGGTCCGAACGTTCAGACGTGGTCCAAAGTGCGGTCCACGGTGCGGAGCGGAGCGCGAGTGGGGTGTCGGTCTTCGAGGGTCCTGCGACCCCCGACTCTCTCGACTGCGGTGTTCTCGCGCCAGAGCACTATCGTGAATGTATGCAGCCACATTTACAGCGATGTGCGGTACGGTTCCAAGCTGAACTCCAAGGCGGCAGCGACGTACTTCAGCGGGGGCAATGACCCTCTGGTCCGACACTCTCGGCCTACATACAAAGGAGCGGGATCGTTGGAAACAGATCGCACGGCCATTATTCTAGCGGGAGTTTGGCGCCTGGAAAGCATCCCCCTGCACACATAGCATTTGACGGGAACGGGCAAGAAAAAAGGGACTCCACCGCCACAGCAGATTTCGCAGGCTTAGAGGTGGACCCCACAGGTTTGCGGCGAAGGCCTGGAAATGGAAACCGGTTTCCAAAAAATGGCTGTCGAGCAATACGGCCGTTCTCCAAAAGAGACCCCACCCCGCCCTAACGAAACGGCGGAACCGAAGGGATCGTTTTCCATTTCAGGGAACCTTTCCTTTTTTGGGCCATGAGTATCCGGTGTCTCCAAACCTGGTTTGCACCCGGACATTGTTGGGTGACAAGCTGTGAGCGATGCGGAGCGACGACAGTGTCACTCGGTACCGGGTCCATGGGCGTCCTCCAGTGCCCACGCTGGCCGTTTGGAATTTCACATTCCGGTGTTGGGACCGCCGCCGTTTTGGAACCGCAAATCCACATGAGCACCTGTGACACTCTGTCATCGATTCTTTTGTGCCATGTCCTCCGTTGCCTCTGCATCTCTCTCCATCGGCTGTTATCTATCCATCTCCATCTACTCTGTCTGCGTCCCCATGACTTTCAGAAGCCCCCTTATGCAGCAACGGGAGTCGTGCACGAACATGGATCCCGCACAAGCATGCGTTCGTGACGGTCGGTGGGAAGATTGGATAGTAGTCATGACGTTTCTTGTCGTGCAATTTCTGCAAGAAAGGAATGTCACTGCCATGATGGTGTTGCAGGCAGCAGCGCCATTGCCTATGCACATACCAGGTGTTGGTGACAACCTCGCCCTCGTCGCTGGAGGTTTGCTGCACAACCATATCATGCAATGCGCGGCATTGAAGACAATGCATCAGCTGGCGGAAAGGTGACGTAGATTGTGGGTGTTGGAACATAGCGGAGGTGTGTGGTCGGATCTGCAAATGGATGGGGAACAATATGAGAAGGTGTTCATGAGGTTTTGTCGTCTTCCCCGTCCGCTGTTCCTCAAAATCCTTGATCGCATACGACCACGCATCCTAAGGCAGGACACAAACTGGAGGCGGCCATTGCCAGCAGCGTTCAAGTTCGCTTGTGCGTTGGGTCAGTGGGCTATGGGCACGTACTATAGACAGTATGGGCACTCGCTTGGGGTTGGGTTGGCAAGTGCACAGCGAAGCAATGTCGACATGGCGGACTCACTTATCAAGGAGTATGGCCACGGCATCGGGTTCCCTCAAGGGCGACGGTTGCAAGACACCCTTTACGCTTTCAAGTGGAAAGTGTTTCCGGGGCGTGTGGGCACCATTGACTGCACCCACCTGCACATAGAGAAGCCGAAGGGTGCGAGAGCAGAGTGCTACTATGACAGGATGACGGCCACTCCATCGTCGCACAGGTTTGTTTTGACCACGAGGGCAGGATCTTGAACGTGTATGTGGGTTGTCCCGGGGCTGTCCACGACGCTCGTGTGTTGCACTTGTCGCCCATGTACAGTGACGTGCAAGAAGGTAGCCTGGGGGATCTTCCACACCAGGGCATGTGCGTTGCGTGACGACAGCGAGGTCGGGTACTACCTTTTGGGTGATGCAGGGTATCCTCTAGTGCCATGGATAATGACCCCGGTTGGAGGGAGCTCGAGGACGACAAGCGAGCGACAGTATGACGAGTTCCACACTACGGCACGCTCTATCATTGAGCGATGCTTCAGGAGATTGAAAGGAGTGTACTAGCGAAACTTCTTCCGTCAGCAGATCTGCAACATGAAGACCCCGTGCAAGGAATTCATGGCAGTTTGCATCCTGCACAACCTCATGATCAATGCAAGTGTCAAGATCGATCCAATGTTGTTGACTATGGACTCAGACAGTGAGGACGATGACAACAATCTTGTGCATCGTCTGCGGCGACGAAGAAGACGTCACATCAATAGGCGAGACGAGGTCCACAACCGCAAGGAGGGTTAGGGATGGGAGGACGCTTCGCTGGCTCACTGCACAAATGCCAGCAAAGCAATCAGGGATAGATTGATTGCTCATCACGCTAGACTGCATGGTGGTCCACCAACCAACCCTTGGGGTGCTTGATGCCAGACGAATCGCAAAACATTGGGAATCTGTCTTGTGATGTACTTGACAAAAGGAATTTGTTTTCACGTTGAACTTTATGAGTCAGTCTCTCTCTCTCTCTCTCTCTCTCTCTCTCTCTCTCTCTCTCTCTCTCTCTCTCTCTCTCTCTCTCTCTCTCTCTCTCTCCATCCATGTGTTTGCGCTTCTATGGATGTTTGTGTGTATGCGCATCTGTGTGTATGTGTGCATGTGCGTGTGCATGTGTGTGTGTGTGTATGTGTGCGTGTGTGCGTGTGTGTGTGTGTGTGTGTGTGTGCGCGCGCGTGTGTATGTGAGAAACAGAGTGAAGAATAACTGCATATCTTCCCTGCATGTGTTGTCGACAATTACAAGTTTTCACAACCATATTCCGCCATGCAATAAACGTTGCCTTTAATTTCAGCATACAACAACATAACAAAAAAAAAAAAAAAGTTTGAGCACAAACATAACACAGACAAAAAACTCAAACGGCCCCTCAAGGGTTTCACCCGTCAGTCGACACATCATACACATGATGCATGCACATGACAACGGACGAATGTGTTGCAGAGCTTTTTTTTCATTACAAATAACAAACGAGAAGACAAGAAGACGCCGAAGAAGAAAACATATGGCGGACGAAGAAGAAGAAGAAGAAAAGGGAAAAAAAAAGTGTGCATCAGAGGAGTGAAAAACATATAAAACCGAACCCCATGCCAAGAGATTAAAAAAAAGGCACCAGCCAATTTTCAATTCATTCCAAGCACAAATTTCATGGCCGCATCCCGTGGAGATGGTCATGCGTAGGACATGGCCATAGCTACACAACTAACGTCACGAATGCAACTCCTGCCAGTGCTGCGAAGGCCACACAAAGATCAAGTTGGGATTACCTCTGTTCAACAACAACCACATTTCCCACAAGAAAAGCAGACGTACGCTCGCACATGTTATGCCACCAACGAGAATGCGACGTGTCCACCGTTCAACTCTGCCGGGAATGGATCCAGTTCCGGCTCGACAATGGCGACATGCCAGCGGCTGACAATGGAACCTCTTTATCGTTGCCTTCCACCAGAGCGTCCACTGTTGCACTACGAGTGAGGGGAAAGTGTGGGGTGACAAGTGTGAGAGCAGAGCACCGCACTCCACATGGCACCAACGGAGCAACTTGTCCCCAAACACCCACCTTTGATGGTGTACCGACACATGGTTTTTTTTAGCATTAGTCGTTGGCATAAGCCAACGGCCCGCTTCTCTCCCTCAGGTACCACGTAGGTGCACCCAGAGGCTGCCGAAACACAACCTGAGTTTGATTCCTACGGAAATCGACTCCAATAAAAAAACATTAGACTTTTCTTAATTTATGTGTGTCATCCTTGCGCAGGGGTCATGCAATCCGCGCGGTCGATTTCGGCCTTGCGATCTTCGCGATCGAGCGGTCGAAACCGACCGTGCCATACTGCATTCCAAAAGGGCCGCTCCAAAAGGAGCTAGCCTTAGTAGTGTGACATTAGGCTTGATCCTAGTATTTGCGGGGTGAAAGTCCAGCGCGTCATCCTACTTGGTTATCTCTTGTTTTACACGAAAATGGAGCAACTCTTCCTTTTGAAGAGCTAAGTCTCCAGCAGAAACCCAGCCTATAGCCCAGCACGCCGCATTTGCCCCCGCCACGCAACTCACTGGACGCCGACCCACTGGACGCCAACCCCCGGATCGGGCACGTGTTCGTCGGAATAGGGTAGGATGTAGATGTTGAACGTACATGTGCCCGTCCAAGCCCTGGCTGGGCAATTCGTAAATCAAGCACGGCCAAATCCTCACACTTTTGTGCTGCGACCGTCAACGCAAAGCGACCGCTCGCCTCCTCTTTTTTTATTCTTCTGTTTGCTTCTGAACATATGAATTGTGCGGCTTACAACCACGTGTCACAATTTTTTAACAGAATAAATTTAAACTCAGTATTTTCACGAATGTATGTCTCCCTGACCCTTATTCAATGTAGAGAGTGAGCGGTCACTCCATCAAACTCTGTTGTCACGTCTGCCAGTAGTTAAACGTCTACTATTAAACAAAAGAATTTTGACTTTTTAATCAACGACCGAGTCAAAATAAGCTTCGACAACACTTCCATTTCACCAAGTCAAACCTTTTAAACAAGATTCATACTGAAGACTAAACAACTCCTACCATTTAAAACACAGGGCACATACCCTTGTCAGGGGTTCTACCCCGACAGCGCATCCAAAGACACTAATAAGTTTATTATTATTATTACTATCTTTTGATTATTTCTTCAACCTTTCAACTACACTCAACTCTTATAGACAGGATATGGGACCCAAACCCTTGGCTTGGCGTGACAAAACCCGAGGCAACGTTGGTTAACACGGGGTTGAGATCAGGTTCGGTAAGAAAAAAAATTGGTAGCTCTTTGTAATCCATAAATTGGATTGATTCAATAATTTAAATGTATACAAACTTGAGTATTGAGAAAAGTGAGTACGGTCGTTTATGATTAAAAAATAATTAAAAAAAATCATAACAAACCTTTCGAAGTGCTTGTTCTCTCGAATATGCAGCATGATGAAATTTGCGGTAGTATTTGGTAGGATAGGTAAATGTGTCATCTCTTTCTTTCTCTTTCTCTCTCTCTCTCTCTCTCTCTCTCTCTCTCTCTCTGGCCGGGCGGTTGGAATGTGCCAAACGGGAATGAATTTTCCCGACATCACGGGAAAATTCATTCCCGTCTTGCAGATTCGAACGGCACCGGGAGGGAGAGAGAGAGAGAGAGAGAGAGAGAGAGAGAGAGAGAGAGAGAGAGAGAGAGAGAGAGAGAGA